GTGTGTGTGAGAGAGAGAGAGAGAGAGAGAGAGAGGTGTGTGTGTGTGTGTGTGTGAGAGAGAGAGAGAGAGAGAGAGAGAGAGAGAGAGAGTTTGGGATGGTGGCTAAAGTGGGTGGATGTATTGTTTGTGTATTGTGGTGACAGAACGCGCAATCTGTGGGCTTGAGTCGAAATCCAACTGCGCTGCTGGAGTAGGAGCCACGGCGCTGCCACCGGGACAAGGAGGAGGAGGAGGAGGAGGAGGAGGAGGGATGCAACTCCCACCCTCATGTGTTGTGTGCTTGGATTCCTTAGGCACAAATGGAGGACCTGCGTCGCTGCCCTGTGGACATAATGCGTGTTTGGAGTGCCTGCGAGAGGTTGGTCGCATTGGTGCTTGTCCGTTATTTCTCCCCACGAGCTTTAAGAAATTGAAAAAAAAACGAAAAGCCTGAAATGACCTCCTGATTGACAGTCATTGACTGCATTGTTTTCCCCTTTTTTTGAAGTATTTTGACTTTTTCCGGAAATCTCCCCCGCGCTTAGCCCTCTTGACATGGGGATATCATCTTTTTTATTTTCTTTTTCTTTTTTATTTTTTTTAATACAACAACCCTTGTTACCGTTTACTGAAACGGTATCTTGTGAACTATTCTTTTCCTTTTTAGAATTGGTCAAAAAAAAAAAGGAAGAAAAAGGCGAGAAAATGCTGTTTAAAAAAAAAAAAAAAAAAAAAAAAAGAAGAAGAAGAAAAAAAGAAAATGCTGTTGAGTGAACTTGAGTCTATATTGACAGCTTCCGCAGCTTTCCAAAAAAAAACAAACAAACCAAAAAAAAAAGGCTCCTACCACCACTACCTCTGTCACTCTTGGGAAAAATAAGAAAACGAGCAGTTTTCCCATCTTTCCCGAACTTTTTCGGGGGTTGGATGAGGATCGAGAGTCGGGGAAGGCCGTGCACCAAGTTGTGCTCACACCAAAACTCACACGTACGAACCTAACCGCTATAGTGGCCAGTTTCAAGTTTTCATTGTTTGTGTTTTTTCAACTTTTTTCAACTTTTTTGTTTTCTTTTCTTTTTTTTTTTGTTTTGGTGCGCCGCCAGGGAGGCACGGTGCAGTCCACGGGCTGCTGACACTTTGTGGAGGAGGGCATGCCCACACCATTACTTTGGAGAATGTCTGAACCCGCTTTCCTACCCTAAGTTCAGTTTCGGTTTTCCTCCCCCCCCCCCTCTTCCTTCTTTCGTGGGCTTGACACCCTTGCCGTAATGCCCTCACCGAGGGCATACTCACACAACGACTGTGGGCTTAGTATCTACCAGGAGCATGGTCCCACTAGCAAAGGGATAGGATAGAAAAGAGTTTGTGTGGCAGGTGAGTGACCCAAATCCTGCCGTGCAGTACTCGTGATCCCACAGTCAGTAATTTACATGTATTACCCGAAAAAGTAAGGAGATCTTCGTTCCCCTCCTCCTCTCCTTAACACTGGGCATCCTGCCCATGCGAAGGAAGGTTCCCGCCAAAGTCTTTTCAATCCGTTGGGGGTATGGCCAACCCCAAAAGAGAGTGGGGTCGGCCATAGGCCCACTGGATAGAAGATTTTCAGTATTTTGCTTGCTGTTGTGCAATTATCTCATTGGGTGGAGCCCTCCTTCAATCACGGAGTATATGGAGGGCGTCAGGATCACTGCTGACAGAGGTTTAGTTTATTCCAGAAAATGTGGCAGTTACTTTGTTCACTCTGCCGTGATTTCAGGTGGGAGGTCTCTGTTTCTGTTTTTTTTTTTTTTT